AAACCACATTTAGTTAATAATTGCTAAAAAACCTAGGATATAATAGAAGACCCCCCTGAGAAATTTTTACGACGAGACATAATAGAAGACCCGGGGTCTTTTAATGCAGGGAGGGGTTTAGCATATCAGCCTTTCTATTTTTCTCAGTTTCTTTATCAAAAAAACATATATCACGAACATAAGCAAGCCCAAATTCTGGTATGGCATAGCCACCGCTCATACGTCCATATTTTAGATCAAGCAATGATCGATAGCCATCAGAATTGTAAAGTATTATTTCTTCTTGTGCCCCTAAAAAAACTCGAAATAATTCATTTTGATTTAACTAACAGAATACAATTGTTTAACGATCAATTTATTGGAAAATATTTTTATATGTATATATATATATTTGTGTATTCATCGAACTATATATATTTATGAAATAAATCGTACTCACAAGCATGTCTCAAATATCCACCACCGGTAGAACGTTCATTCTAAAATGTTAGACTTACAAAATGAGAATAATATTAGAAAAATAACTTACAGCAAAATTCAGAAGAATTATTTGAGCATCTTCAGGTATATCAAAAACAGCCTTTTCAATTCCTTTGTTGACATAGGTGATCTTTCTAGAATTATTTCTTTTTGATACAGGATGCTCACGTAGAGCTTGTACGACATCAACATCGGATGGATCGTGTGGTGGTAGATTTTCAGCTTTTGTTTCTTTATTTGGTTCATCTTTCATTTGCTCTTTTACTTCATTATTATTTTCACTTTTCACTTCAACTGTTGCTTCATCTTTCGTTTCTTCGTTTTTTTCGAGTTTTGTTTCAATTTTTGTTGTATCTTTTCTGGTATGTTCTGGTTCACATTGTGGTTCGACTTCCGTTTCACTATTGACATTATTTTTATCTTGATCTGTTTCTTCCACTTGTTTAGAAGGTTGTGTTTCATGTTTCGGGCAAAGATTTTCAATTTGTTGAACATTCCAATAGATTTTTAATTCATTAGGTTCCCAACCATGACTTCGAAAATGATTCATATATTCTCGAGATTGATTTATATCGGGATGTAACTAACATAAGAATATATTAATTATGTTATAGATATTAATTCGAAAAAGATTCTTTTAAGAATTGTTTTACAAATAATAACATTTTCTCTTTAAATCTTATTGAAAATATTCGGATCGAACATAAGATTGTGTTCACACAAGAATGTGATATCTTACGAAAAAACTGATCAAGTTCGACTTTGATTTCTTTGAAATTGATTAATAAGAGAAAATATATTTTCGAATTGATATTGGACCTAATCATATTTAAGTCTGAAAAAATTCAGAAAGTTTATTTAAGAACTTTATGATATTCTGATAGTTAACTCTATATTGGATTATAATGGAAGAAATATGTTGCTGATAATCAACCATTAAAATGTGACGTAATTCAATGTTTATTAAGGTTAATTGTTCTCCTCTTTCTAATAAGCAATTTTATTTTGTGATCGACTGATTTGTGTTTCATTGATTAGTGATTATTAAAAGAGAAACTTATAATTGATGGGGTAAACAGAATTATTTTCTCAATATTTCATTAGTATTTTCTCTGTCTATATTCATATCTTTAAACAATTTTTTCTAAAGATTTATTTTTCAATTCTCTATAAAATC